GCGCGTGCGCGAGGCTGGGTGTGTGTGTGTGTGTGTGTGTGTGTGTGGGTGCGCGTGTGCGCGTGCGCGAGGGTGGGTGGTGTGTGTGTGTGTGTGTGTGTGTGTGGGTGCGCGTGTGCGCGTGCGCGAGGGTGGGTGGTGTGTGTGTGTGTGTGTGTGCGTGTGTGCGTGCATGCATGCGAGGGTGCATGTTGTCGGCGATGTAGGATGAGCAGCGTAATTAAGCTCTATGTATATAATATACATTATATATGTATACACACACATATATATATATATGTATATATATATACACTCTATTGGCCCCCGTGCATGGTTATAGAAGAGAAGAGAAGAAGAGAGAAATAGCGAACGACAGAGAGACGACGAGACAGAGAGAGAGAGAGAGAGAGAGAGAGAGAGAGAGAGAGAGAGAGAGAGAGAGAGAGAGAGAGAGAGAGAGAGAGAAAGAGAGAAAGTGAAACAAGCGAAGAGAAGGGTCAATTAGTTCAAACGTAACATCGCAAAAAAAAAACAGAAGAAGAAAACGAAATAAAAACAGCCTGCGTAACTGTGTTTGTAACAGAGTATCAGAACCAACACTGTGTAACAACTACTCGTACCCGCGCCCCACCTCCGACCTTGACAGATGTCCTTGACCTCCCCGTGACCTCGTTTGCAGGTGATCGTCTGCCAGAACGCGGTGCAGAAGAAGGGCAACACGCAGGCGGTGCTCACGCACGAGCTCGTGCACATGTACGACTGGTGCCGCGCCAAGCTAGACTTCACCAACCTGCACCACCTCGCCTGCACCGAGGTGAGTGTTGCGCCCTCTAGCGGCGACGGGCGCCCTCTGGAGGGCGGATTCGCACGCGACTTGTTAGCTGGGACGTGTGGTCAGCTACGGCTGTATACGTATTCGCGACTTGGTCAGGACTTTTCTTCTTTTACGTCGTCGTCTTCTTTTGCTTCTCGTCTCTTTTTCTTCTTCTTCGTTCTTTCGACTTCCATTTCGTTGTATATTTTTTTCCGTCTACTTCATCTTTCTTCACACAATTCCCCCGCGCGATACGCCCATACAGGCGAATGGCGCTGACGCCGCCATCTTGTATTTTCAGGTGCGCGCTGCCAACCTCGCGCAGTGTTCGTTCATGAGTGCCGTCGTCGACGGAGTCGCCTCGCCGTTCAACATCAAGCAGACGCATCAGGTACGCGCAGCGCTGCCCGCCAGGTGGCAGCACCCGCCATGATGAGAGAATGCGTGCAAAAAAATAATAAACTCCGGTCGAAAATGTGTTGTACATTGGGAGGGTCAGTGTTCGCGTTACCAGGGCCCCCCGATGTCGGGGGAAAAATTTGTTTTAACGTTAATTTTTTCTCGTACAACTAGCAGCTCGACTCCCTCCTGGCCCAGGGTAAAAAATACACGGGAGCGATTCGCGATTCGCTCTTCAAACCTCCGAAATAGCTCCCGTAAAACTATTGACGAGAACTATTTTTCCCACAGACCTTTGAAAAAGAGCTCCTGTGAAAAAAAAAGGAATTTTTTCCCTGCCTCCTGACCTGACCTCCACGTGACCTTTGACCTTTCTCTGCAGGAGTGTGTGCGTAACAAGGCGGTCTACTCCGTCATGGCTGTCCGGCGGGGACTCACCAAGCGGGAGGCGCGTGCCGCCGTCGACGCCGTGTTTGCGCGTTGCTATGCCGACCTGGAGCCGATTGGCCGCCGCTGCCGCCGCAACTCGCGCGATCCGGAGCGAGCGTACCTCGAGCGATTCAAGCTCGGCTACGACGCCGAGATAGACTGACGCCTGCATAGACTGCTAGTCAGTTTAGACGGGCGCCGACGTAGTAGATTCACGCTGGCCCGGAACTTAAGACTGACGCCGACGTAGACTCACGCTGGCCCGTAGCGTAAGACTCACGCTGGCCTGGAACATATGATGCCAGCGTAGACCGATGCAGACACACACCAACACTGGCATAGACTAACATCGGCTATAAAACCTACGAAACCGACGCCAGCGATGCCAGCAGCTTGGACGGATGCGAATAGACCGAGGCCAACCAGGCGTAGACTGATAGCGATAGACTTACGCCGACTGAACACCTTAGACTGACACCTGCATAGATAGACCGACCGACTGTAACATTGAAACGTGTTAAAGTGTCAATGATGTTGTCAGTGTCGGGTCGTGTTCGATGGATGAAATCCGTTTGTTACGTTACGTTTGTGCCGCGTCGTCATTCTTGTTGTAATTTTTAGCGAATAATAAAGGTTTGCACGTCAAAACTCAAACGAAACCGTTGAAAGGTCAGTCTATTGTTTCGTTGGCGCCGTGTCAAGGTCGCGGGGTCATTGCCGAAGAAACATCCGCAGTGTCGCGTCGCCTCGCGCGAGTATTTCGTCCTTCGAAAGCATTCCGGAGTATTTCCAGTTTTCCCCAACGCCACCTGAGATTGCGATTGAACGCGTCGTAACACCATCGCGTATTCGATTAGCGGACGAACGAACAAAAAACAATGGAACGCCGTCACGGAGTTCGAGTACGTATGGCGACTATATATTTATTCTGGTTTGCTCGCGAAAGCCGGCCTACAGTACGCCGCCGTTGCCACGACGACGCGAGCGACTCCCGAAGAAAGAAACCTACGTTTGCGTGCGCGAGGAGAGACGACACTAGGTGGCGACACGCGGCCGACGAAGGCTGACACTAGGTGGCGACACGCGGCCGACGAAGGCTGACACTAGGTAGCGACACGCGCAGGCCGACGAAGCGACACTAGTGCGACACGCGGCCGACGCGGGAAGGCCGACACTAGGTGGCGACACTGCGGCCGACGAAGGCGACACTAGGTGCGACACGCGGGCGACAAGGCTGAACACTACGGTGGCGACACTGCCGGCCGAGGCGAAGGCTGACACTATCGTGGCGACACGGCGGCCGACGAAGGCCGACCACTAGGTGGGCGACAGCGCGCCGACGAAGGCCGACCACGAGTGGCGACAGCCGCCGGCCGACCGAAGGACTGAGCATAGGTGGCGACACGCGGCCGACGAAGGCCGACACTGGTGCGACACGCCGGCGGCCGACGCCAAGGCTGACACTACGTGGCGGACCACGCGGCCCGCACGAAGGGCATGGGCACACCTAGTCCGCGACGCCACGCTCGGCAACATTACTGGTGCCGTGGCGACCGCGCCCAGCAACACTAGGTGGCGCTACGGCGACTGCGCCTGGCAACACTAGGTGGCGCTACGGCCGACTGCCGCCTGGGCAACACTAAAGGTGGCGCTACCGGCAACTGCCCGGCCCTGGCAAAACACTAGGCCTACGGTTAGGGGTGGGGTCATTGTACACCGGGCAGCAGGGTTAGGAATGAGGCGGGCGCCATGGAGGGAGAGCAGGGGGTGGGGGAAGACCCACCAACTCCATCTGGGATGCTGCACGGCTTCACCGTCGCCGTCGTCATGGGAACCGTTCTGGCCCAACTGCACGCGCGCAAGACACACACATAATACTATCGCATATAATAGCATATAACACATCGAACCACCTATCTTCTAACATAATAATACATACCAGACACAGAGAGAGACCGAGCGCGCACCACTCACACGCATGCACCGCTACATACGCATGTACCTAGCGAGCTACACACGCATTACACCACACACGCACCGTACACACATCACGCATGCACACACACCACCGGCGCACAACCGCGCACGTACCGTACACATGGATGGCACCGCGGCCGTTACCGTACCGCACGCCACATACAAGCGTACGTACATGCGTGCACCCCGCCCGACGACACACTACGTTCGGCGCTCTCCCCCTACCGACGACGAACGCGAACGCACGGCCGCTCGTCACCAGATTTACCTACAACTACCAGCGAGCGAGGTTATCACCACCATAAAACCCCCCTCACCCGCCCCCGGACCCACAGAGCCTCTCCCCTCCCTCCCCGCACCCCGTGCTGCTCCCACTCGCGAAGGCACCTCTGCCCGCCCCCCCACCCACCACCCACGACGCTCGAGGCCTCCCCGTCCCCGCCCCACCCCAAACCTTTCCCTCCTCAGCCCAGCCAAAACCTCACCCTCCCTTTACCGCCCCACCGCAAACACCTCTCGCTCCCTCCCCCTCACCACCCCACCCCAAAACCTTCCCCTCCTCCCAAATTTGGCCATCTTTTTCCCTCCCCCACCCACTCCCGGTATCGCAGGCGCGAGCACGCGTACGTAGCAGATAGTACAAAGAGACGGACAACGCTAACGAAGCGATAACGAAGCGATAACGAAAGACAACTAAATGCTGTTCCTTCTTCCGCGCGCACACCCCATGCCGTTCCTTTTATTAAGCGCACTCCCCGCTCTTCATCCTCCCGCGTGCACTTCCCGCTATTCCTTTTATCAAGCGTATCCGCGCACATCCTCGGCTGTTCCTATTTCCGTGTGCATACCCCCTGCCGTTACTTCTTCCGTGCACACCCTCGCCGTTCCTTCTTCTGCGCGCACATCCTCCGCTGTTCCTATTTCCGTGCGTGCGCCCCGCTCTTCCTCCTTCTGCGCGCACCACCGCCCTTCCTCCTTCACACACTGACATTGCTATTTACAAAGTATCCGTTCCCCCCCTTCCCAATGCCCCCTACTGGACTCAAACGTCGTTTTTCGCGCTGGGGCGACGCGACTCGAAAGTGGGAGCATGGCGCCACCTGGCGGAGAGGAACTCTTCTCGGGGTGCGCCGAAAACACGGAACGGACCCGTCCCGATTCCCGAAATTTGCGACGCGCCACAGTCCACTGGGTCGTGACCCAGAGGCTGCAGAGAGGAGGGGTCGTCTTTATTCGCCGATCCCCGCCACTACACGCGCGGCGCCCCCTCGTGGTGCGTCGGTCGCAGCGAGCGCCGGCAGCCATTAACTGTTGGTGGCGCCGGCGTCGTCGGGCTTGCAGTGGTGGCGCCGCATGGTGGCGTAGTACTCCTGCTGCGATTCGGCGAGCACCTGTGCGAGAATGTGCTGCTCCTCCCACTCGCTCTCCGTGAGGCCTGCGAAGAAAAACAAGAGAACGCAGGGGGGTTAGTCGCGTGCAGAAACAGGTGAACGTCTCCGTGCGGCCTGCGATAAAAACATGAGAACGCAGGTACTGTTAGTCGCGCGTAGGAAAAAGAACGCGCAGATTAGGCGCAAATAAAAGAAGGCAAAACAAAAGAGAAAACAGAAACAAATAACTTAGTTAAAAACTACTGTGTATTAACCAAGGCCAGCCTTAAAAAATTATGTTTGCTGTCCTCCGACCGACCCACAAGTTTTTTTTGACATTTTGGGTTCAATTTTTTTTTTTTTTACATTCCTCATAGTTAAGACTGAAACACAAAGCATGTGTGGCAAACATGAGGACAGACTTCAAATAACTATTATGCCTCACACAAAAAAAGACCTACCTACCTACTCACTAAAAAAATCGTGGGTCGGGAGACAGCAAACATAGAATTTTTTAAGGATGGCCCAAGTGTCTCTTGGTCTTGCGCTTTTATCAGGATAGAGAAAGAGCGAGAGAGACAGACAGAGACTGAGACAGGGGGAGAGAAAGAGAGACTGAGACAGAGAGAAAGAGAGATAGACAGATACAAGTTGGACAAGGGCGGGAGAGAAGATGCGACGCACTAGCAGACGCCTCGCGCACCAAACGACCGGACGGAGGCAGACTGGCTTTCCAAAAAACACGGCGGCTCGGGGGGGGGGGGGGGGGGGGGGGCGGGGCGTTTGCTCCGCCCATGCCGACGGCCCTTCCACCGCTCCGGGCAGTGGGGGCGGGGAGCGCGTCCGCGCGCAGGCACTAGGGGCTCTGCCATCAGTGCGCCCGTCCGTCTCTCTTGAGGGGCCTGCGGCGCAGGCGCCCGACACTGGAAAAAAACAATATTATTATAACATTATTAAATAATATTTATTATATTAATAATAATTATAATTTATTAATTATATCATTTGACAATAAAAAAACGGTTATTTATTTCGCGTGCACCAACGCATTTACGAATGAGAGCAATATCCCTATCATAAATATACAGACCGAGGGGCGGCGCGCGGTGCGAGAGTAGTACCAACAGATGCGCTGCCGACAGAGGCACCGCAGAGGGCGTCGCAATCGAGAGTAACATCAACAGAGGGCGACACTCACCGTCCTCGTCCTCCGCCATTGGCTGAGGCCTGTCGGGCGATCCCGGGTGGCTGCGTTGCCGCGGCGACCGCGACGTGCGCGGCTGCTCCCACCAATTCTCGCCGCCAGATGTCGCCGCTGTAGCAGAGCTGCAGGTGCGCTGGCCGAGACCCCCGGCTGCGGGTCAAAGCGGTCAAAGGTCAGGAATAATGGCTAATGCGACACCCGAGCTCAGAGAGGCGCCCTGTTTGCTCAAATTAACGAGGCCAAGCTAACGAGACGCTGCCTAATGATAGAAACACGAGGTATCTACGCGCGAGAGAAAGCGAAAGAGGGAGAGAGACAGTAAAGACAGAGAGAGGGAGACAGAAAAAGAGAGATAGAGATAGAGAAAGAGACAGACAGACAGAACAGAGACAGACAGACAGAGAGAGAGAGACAGACAGAACAGAGACAGACAGACAGACAGCAGAAGAGAGAGAGAGAGACAGAAGAGAGACAGAAAAAGAGAGAATAGAGAGCAGAGAGAGGGGGGGGGGGGGGGGGGGGGGGGGGGGGGGGGCGGGGAGGGGGGGGGGGGGGGCGGGGGGGGGGGGGGGGGGGCGGGGGGGGGCGGGGGGGGGGGGGCGGGGGAGAGAGAGTGGAGACACATAGACACACTGCCGGAGGACAGAGACAGAAAGACAACAGGACACAGATAGAGACAGCTACGATGACTCACCGGCTCGTTAGTGGCCCTCTTCTCGTTATCTCGCAGCCACTGCAGGTAGGACTCGCGCGCCACCTGCTCCTCTATGGCCTTCATTCGTCGCCTCCCAGTCCGTCGCACGAACCTTATCCTCCAGCATCGCCTGTGTGTGCAGAGAAGCAGCGATGTACATACATGCATACGCCACTAACGCATGCACGCACCAACGCCATCACGCGCACACACACGCACACTGTACCACCACCCATACACACACACACACTCTGCCTGCTGTGTGCACGAGAAGCCACGATGTACATACCAATGCACGCACGCGCTCGACGCAACACACCATACACGACCACACACAACTGTGCCTGTGTGTGCAAGAGAAGCAGCGATGTACATGACTGCATACGCACACGTACCACGCACGCCTCACCGCACACCACACCATACACACCACACACACTGGCTGTGTGTGCAGAGAAGCAGCGATGTACAGTACATGCATACGCACACACACACACACATCGCACACCACACACACACACATCAACACGCACAGAGAATTACACTCTGGCCTGTGTGTGCAGAGAGAGCCAGCGATGTACATACCATGCCATACGCATGCGCCACTGGGCGGCACGCACACGCACCACGCACACGCACACGCACAGCGCACAGCGCACACGCAACGCACACGCACACACATCACACACACACACTACACACACCACTCCTGCTCATACTAAGCAGGGCCCTAGCTAGGGTTGGTTTTTTTCTGTAGCCCAAACAATTAGCCAGAAGGCAATTTTCATTAGCCAATTTGGATTTCCTGTTAGCGCACATCTGTAGCCTAACATTTTATAGACACAAAAGGCGATAAAATAATTTTTCTTTTCTTTATTTTTTCACAAACTTTATATGCCATGAAGCTACAAAACTACACTGATTTATGGCCAAACAAACTGATGATCACGCACCTGTTCTATGACTGAGACACTAACACGATATGATTTCACCACCACTGACTTCTACTGAACTGACACCCGGGACAGAGTGGCCAGAACAGTTCAAACTTCGTCGTGCATTTTCTTCACTGCGCTCTCGAGCTACAGGGTACAGCTGAATAATTTTCTCCTCTCGCGCCACACCATCCCGGGGTGGCTCCGCACGTCGGCGTCCGCGCGCTACCCCATATTGATCTTCTCGGTGTAACAAGACCAGCTTGTTTCAAGGTAAGTTGGTTTCAAACGTGAGTCCCTCCATCATGTCGTTCCTGGCACTGTACCGAGCATCCCTCATCCCCCTCTCCCTGTGGCCCGACCGCCGGAGGGCATTTTGGATGCTCACGACTACTCTCTGATTTAAAATGTCCCACGCGTACGCGGGGGCCGCGCCGACCTGCGGAGCCCACCAAACACTTTCTCTCCGTCGTTTTCATCTATTTTTGAGACAGTGTCCTAGGCTGTTGTATAACCAATTATAATGGGTGCTGGCTGAGAGACCCGCGGTTCCCAATCAACTGTTGCGGTGGATGTCTTGGGTAGGGTGCGTTTCACAAACAGCTGGCCAGGCTCTCTTCTTTCGCCTCCTCCCTCCCGTGCTCGCCGCGCGCGTACATCCACTCAGCAACTTGTAGGGCCCCGTCTATCGTGGCACTGTTCGTTTGCTTCGAGAGACGACGAGACCGACAATGGCCAGGGCTGTTTGTGACCCTACCATCCAAAAAAACAGTTGTTTTGATGTGGAGAGGGGTTTAGCAGACATATAATTTGTTACTAAACAGCTTCCAAAAATAACCTGAAAACAGAAAGGTGTTTGTGATTCATTTACACCATCAAATTGAAGCGCCCAGAAGAAGAGATATTGACTTTTGAAAAGTGCTTATGCCAGTGCGTGTGGCAAAAAATTTTCCTGCCAGATAGTGGAAGAAAAAAATGCAGACAACTTTGAATGTCTCTCGTCAGTCGAGTCAGGTCATGGTGGGTGAATCATAGTGTTAGTGTTCTCAGTCATAGACAGTGTGGTGAATCATAGGTTGTTTGCCAGTTAAATAAGTGTAGTTTTGCTACTTCATGCATAATAAAAGTTGTGAAAAAATAAGAAAAGAAAATTATTTATCGCCTTTTTGTGTCTATAAAATGTTAGGCTACAGAATGTCGGCGTAACAAGAAATTCCAAATTGGCTAATTAAAATGGATTCTGCTAAGTTGCTTTGGCTACAGAAAAAAAAACCTAGCTAGGGCTGCTTGTATAAGAGCAGGAGTTGTGCTGCGTGTGTGGTGTGGGTGCGTGTGGGTGTCGTGTGCGTCTGCGTGTCGCGTGCTGCGGGTGCGTGTGCGTGTGCGCTTTGTGCGTTGTGCGTGCCAGCGTCGCATGCGTAATGGCATGTATGTACATCGCTGCTTTCTCTGCACACAACAGGCACAGAGGTAAATCTCTGTGCGCATCGCAGGCATGTAGCACACCGGTGTGTGTGTGGCGCATGGTGGCATGCATTGTGTGTTGTGCGTATGCATGTATTTACATCGCTGTTCTCTTGCACACACAGACAGTGTGATGGTGAGTGTGTATGGCTGTGTGTGCCGTCGACGCGCTTCGTGCCGTGTACGGTGCGTATGCATGATAATGTACATCGCTTGCTTCTCTGCACACACAAGCCACAGTGTGTGCTGGTTGTATGGACCTGTTGTGCGTGAGCGCGTTGCGTGCATGTATGCTTACACGCCTGCTTCTCTGCACACACAGGCAGAGTCGCCGGTGGTGGTGTGTATGGTGTGTGTACGTCGTGCGTGGTGTCGCTGTGCATGCGTTGGTGCGGCTGCATGCGTACGTGCGTAATGCATGTATGTACATCGCTGCTTCTTGCACACACCAGGTCGATGCTGTCGAGGAAAGGTTCTGCGCGGACTGGGAGGCGACAATGAAGCCCATAGGAGGAAGGCAGGTGGCGCGCGAGTCCTACCTGCAAGTGGCTGCGAATGATAACGAGAAGCAGGGCCACTAACTGCAGCCCTCACCATGGCGTCACCCTGGTCCTAGCGCGGGTCCCCGCGTGAGTCATCGTCAGCTCGTCTCTACTCTCGGTTGTCTGTTTGTCTTTCTGTATCTCGGTCTCAGCTGTGTGCTATGTGTCTCACTCTCTCTCTCTCTCTCTTTCTCTATCTCTCTTTTTCTGTCTCTCTTCTGTCTCTCTCTCTCTCTCTCTCTGTCTGTCTGTCTGTCTCTTTCTAGTCTGCTCTCTCTCTCTCTGTCTTGTCCATGTCTCTTCTCGTCTGTCCTGCGCTCATTTCTCTATCTCTACTCTCTCTTATTTCTGCTCTCCTCTCTCGTCTCTCTACGGTTCTTCTTCACCTCTTTGCGCTTTCTCTCGCGCGTAGATACCTCGCTGTTCTCTCAGTCATTAGCAGCGTCTCGTTAGCTTGCCCCGTTAATTTGAGCAAACAGCTTCCTGAGCTCGGGTGTCGCATTAGCCATTATTCCTGAACCTTCTGACCCTTTGACGCGGCAGCGGCAGCTACTACGGCACAGCCACCTGCCGAGCTCTGCCCTACAGGGCCGGAAGTCTGGCACAGCGCAGAGATTGGGGGGAGCAGCCCCGCCGCACGGCACAGCGCCTCCGGTCGCCCGCTGGGCAACGCCCAAGCACGGGAGTCGCCCGACCGACGGCCTCAGCCAATGGCGAGAGGACCGAGCGACGCGTGCTAGTGTCGCCCTCTCTTGATGTTACGCTCAGATTGCGACGCCCTCTGGTCCGGACATGCCCCTCCTCGGCGCAGGCGCCATGTACGTCGGCCGGGGGACTACTACTCTCCCCGGCGCTCGTCGTAGATATTTCTCCGCGCCGATTCAGTCTACATGCGGTTTGGGCTGCTCCACGCCGAATTACCAATAACCGGTTTTATTGTCAAATATATGATTCGATGAAAATTATAATTATTATTAATAAATAATAAAGATTATTTAATGTTATAGATAATCATTGTTTTCCCGGGTGTGGTGGCGGGCGGCTGCGCGCGAGGGGGGGCCGCGCTGGCGCAGCACGGAGACGGACGGCGCACGAATGCAGAGCCCCTAGTGCCTCGAGTCTGTCTCCGCCGAGGCGGCCACGCTGCTCCCCGCCCCACTGCCGGGTAGCGGTCGTGTGGGAGGTTTCCCGCCGTCGGCTATCCGGGCAACCGCCGCCGAGCGTGTTTGAGCAGCTGCCTCCGTCCCGTGTTTGGTGAGCGAGTGTCCTGCTAGTGCGTCGGCAGCTCCACTTGTATCTGGTCCGTATCCTCTCTCTTCTCCTCCCTGTTCTCCAGTCTCTCTTCTGCTCCCCCTCGTCTCCAGCTCTGTCTGCTCTCTCTCGCTTCGTTCTCTATGCCCTGATAAAAGCGCAAGACCAAGAGACACTTGGCCATCCTTAGAAAAATTCTTATGTTCCTGCATGGTCTCCCCGACACGATTTTGAAGTGAGTATGGTTAGTACAGTCTTTTTTTGTGTGACGGATACATAAGTTATTTGAAGTCTCTCCTCGATGTTTGCAGCACATGTTTGTGTTTCAGTCTTAACTATGAGGAATGCTAAAAACAAAAAAAAAAAATCTGAACCCAAAATGTCAAAAAAACTTGTGGGAAACGGAAGTGGCAGGACACGCAAACATAATTTTTAAGGCTGCCCTTGGATTAATACACAGTGAGTTTGTTAACTAAGTGATTTGCTTTCTGTTTTTCTCTTTTGTCTTTGCCTTCTTTTATCTCGCGCCTCAATCTGCGGCGTTCTTTGTTCCTGCACGCGGGCGACGCAACAAGTACCGCGTTCCTCATGTTTTCTATCCGCAGGGGCCGCCACGGAGACCGTTCACCTGTTTTGCACGTGGCGACTTAAACCCCCCCTGGCTCTCACACACAAGTTCTCTTGTTTTCTGTCGCAGGCCTCACGGAGAGCGATGGGAGGAGCAGCACATTCTCGCACAGAGGTCGGCGGTGCTCGGCCGATCGCAGCCAGCGCACGTACTACGCCACCATGGCGGGCGCCACCACTGCAAGCCGCGCACGACGCCGGCGCCACCAACAGTTAATGGCGCCGGCGCTCGCTGCGCCGATGCGCACGGAGGGGTGTCGCGCCGCCGCCGGTGTAGGCGGGGATCGGCGAAAAAGACGACCCCTGCTCTC